ATTTGCGACGCTTGGTGGGCCTGGATGCAACAAGGCAGTAAGCTGCGGTTCTCTTGAGTGACAGTTGTGGTGCTTCATCTTGCATGTCATTGGGCTCGACGTTGTCGTCATCATCCAAATCCATTGGAACGGGAATATTGGAGAGCATACCAGGAAGGACGGTTGTGGGAAGCGTTTGGTGGTGATTCTCAAGCGCAAGTGCAAAGCTTGGACCTTCCGAATCAATGTCTTCATCAATTAATCCAGCATCCAAAGACGAGTGAAAGTGGTTCTTGTCTTCTTCTTCTGGATCTTCAGTAATGACAGGAAGGGTAGGTTTGAAATCAATCTTTCGATAGACCTTTTTCTTGGCCTTTCTCTTGGCCTCCCTCTTGGCCTTCCTCTTGGTCTTCCTCTTGGCCTTCCTCTTGGCCATCACAGTACTCCGCAGCTGGGGAAGCACTCGTTCTTCAAAACACTTGCATACTTCATGATATCTGATCTGACTGTAAATGTCTCGAATTCGATTCTTTCTGGATTGAATATCTTCCGGGTCTGGCATAAAGTTTCTTCTCCGATTGATCAGGGTGAAACTGACACGATTGGTGGTTCTCGGTGATTTCCAATCTTTTCTTGCAGGACGAAGAATGGAAACAGGTGCTGTAGTTGGCGTAGATGTAGGTGGAGCGTGTTCCAGACTGTTGCAGTCTACATATTCCAGACTGTCCCAATCCTGTTCCTCGTCGTTCATGGGGAAGAAAACCTCGTCGTCTCCTTTGGCGAAGCTTGCAACGTCAGAGTCGCTGTTGTCATCAATCAATCCAGCATCCAAAGACAAGTCAAAAGTACTCATGATGATGTCTTCTTCTTCTGGATCTTCAATAATGACAGGTAGCAAAGGAGTGAATCGTTCATTGATTCTTTTGGCCCATTCTGTAGCAGAAGTTGGAACTGTAGATGAATTTAATTTGCGACGCTTGGTAGGCCGGGAGGAAACAAGGGAGCAAGTTGCAGTTCTCTTGAGTGACAATCGTGATGCTTCGTCTTGCATGTCATTGGGCTCGACGTTGCCGTCATCATCCAAATCCATTGGTACGGGAATATTGGAGAGCATGTCATCAATGACGGTTCGAAGCAGTTGTCGGTGGTTCTCGAGCGCAATTGCAATGGTTTCAGAGTCGACATTGCCATCAATAAATCCAGTATCCAAAGACGAGTCAATGTCACTCAAATCTTCTTCTGCTGGATCTTCGATAATGGTGGCAAGCACGGTAGGTTTGAAATCGATCTTCCAGCGTTGGGCATTCCGTCTCTTGACCTTGCATTCAATTTGATGAATTAGCTGTCTTCGGGACTTCAGCTCTTCCTCGTCGGGAATGAAGTTTCTCCTTCGAGTCTTAGGGGCAAATTGGACTCTGTTTGATGAGGTTGGTTTGGGTGATCCCCAATCTTTTCTTGAAGGACGAAGAATGGACACAGGAGTATGTGGAACGAATCTCACTGTGTTCTCTATCTCTGGAATTACTTCGTCGTGAAGTTGAATGCGCCATTGAATCAGACCCCAGCATTCCCTGCGAGATTGTAGCTCTTGCTCGTTTGGGACAAAGGTTCGACGAAAGATTTTGGCGAAACGGACACGGTTTGGTTTTCTGGTGAACACACCAAACCAACTTCGGTTTTTCTTGCGATGAGACGACCCTCCTGGACGACGAAGAATGGAAACAGGAGGCTGTTGTCGGTTGCAGCTCCGTTGCTCGCAAAGTGCTTGATAGCTTCGGTATAGGTCGAGCGCCATGTACCAAAGTAACAAGAGCGCCGTCGCACAAACCAAACCGGCTGCGATGGTTTCTCGAACGGTTTGAGTGACGATCAAAGGCATCCGAACAGGCAATCGAAAGAAGCTGATGCCTGCTTGAATGATGTATTCTTGATTGACGATGATGGTAGTGATGTAGTTGATGTAGTTGATAATAGTGTTGGTCATGTTGATGTTTGGTCTAGTTGGTGTATTGGTTGGTGTAAAGAATTTCATAATGTAAGTTGTGAGGTGTGTGTGTGAAAACAAAACGTTCAGCCCGAGCGGTTGGAGATGGGACAAAAAAGCGGTGTTCGCGGAGTCTCCACGTTTGATTCCTTCGAATCAATCTAGCAATAAAGTAAAGTGCTGGACCGTGTGGCAAAAACGTGTATTTCGAGATTCTCCGATCATCGAAATTTCGTGTTTCCAGACGAACGTTATTTATAACATGACCCGTTTGTCCGGACGGACACCCGAAAAAAAAGGGGGATTTTTAGGGAACTTCCCGGGTACTTTTAGTGAATTTCTCGGGTACATACCGGTAGGGAACTTTCAGGGACTTTTAGGGAATTTTTAGGGAATTTTTAGGGAACTTTTAGGGAACTTTCAGGGAGCTTGGGTAAAACCGGGTTTAGCGGGATTATCTCGGTATATACCTCGGTCATCGACGCCGACAATCGCGTCGAAGGCTTGGAACCTTCTTGACAGGAAAGGCAAGCTTCCTCGAGCTGGCAGAGTGAAGCATCTATTGTGGGCATTATACTACATGAAGTGCTACAATATTGAACAAGTGAACAAAATCTTTACCGGTACAACGCGCAAGACGTTCCGGAAGTGGACTGATATCTTCATGGAAGCATTGGCGGACCTCCATGAGAATGTGGTAAGTTCTGACAAGATGTGCAACGTCGCCAACCCGTATGATAATGGCTCAACCTTTACTTTAGATCCGTTTTGAATATAGATTGATAAATGATAACGGAGCACCTGCTAAAGTAACTGTTGACGGCACCGACTTTCGTTCACCTGAGTACTCTCCATTCAATCCGGGGAGACTGTCACACAAGTTTGATGGACCTGGATTTCGCTATGAGGTCGTTATCGCTGTTGCGACTGGGCTAATCTGCAGCATCAATGGTCCTTTCATATGCGGTGAATGGCCGGATATTAAAATCGCAAGGAACCATCTTCACGAAATTCTTCCACAAGGAGAATACTACCTCGCTGATGCAGGATATCGTTGCCAACATTCTCCAAGTATCACCAAGTTTGATATTCCAGATCATGAGAGAGAGACAATGGATGAGTTGATGGCTTATCATGAGAACATCAACGGCAAGTTCAAGGATTGGCGCATAATGTCTGATCGCTTTCGCAACTCTGAAGAGAAGCACGGGGGAGCGTTCTTTGCAGTTGCTGTTCTGACTCAACTTGAAATTGCCGAGGGTATGCATGTTTGGTAAGAATAACCGAACGAGCACTAGAGTAGACTACTTTATGTACTAGCTATCATTCCATTGTGTATGTTAAGCTACCGTATAGTCCTTTTACTCCATTGCCAAGTAGTACTGATATTTTGTTGATATATGGCTGCTGCTTATGGAGGATTACCGTCCAAAAACATCATTGTCATCATAAGATGCTTGTCAAACTTGAGTATTTGATCATGTAACACTTTCCGCCTTATCTGAGAGGCTTCCCCCAAAATTTCAGAAGTCGAAACGGGAATGACCGAGGTATACCGAGATAATCCCGCTAAACCCGGTTTTACCCAAGCTCCCAGGGAACTTTTGCGAAACAATATTCCCTCAAAAGACAAACTATACAAATAATAATAGAGAATTGCAATTATAGTAGATGACGCTATTCAAAGGACCCGCTCATTGCAACTCTATTGATTGGAACGCAGCAGATGTGAACGAGTTTTATACCCTCCCAAAAATGACTGGGAAACAAGGAGGGAAAGTTGATATTGGGGGCTATCTAAGATAGCCTACTGCCGTCCTCCGTGTGTGTTCGTAGTATTTTGTCTTGGTGCGTACACTGTAGCTGGTGGGTTGTGGTGTGAAGCGGGTCGAGTAATAGACTCGATTCGTTCCACCAATCTCAGAAATCCCGTGTGCGGTATTACTGAGATCTGCTTTCCTACCAGGCACCGCCGATATGGTAAAATGGAAGCGGTGCCCAACAGGGCGGGTGAGGTTTGGGAGAGAAAAATTGAATTACCACAACACAAGTGGGTGAATTCAATCTCAGTCGATAAACTGGGCATCATTGCCTCGGCGCATCGACAACAACTTTTGACGGTCTAAGGCCGTTCGGCCTTTGTCCGTCTGTAACACAATGTAGTCAAAGAGATCGAACAGTGTGCCTGCGGTCTACATACATACGTTGTACTATCTGATTTTTGGCAATTGACAGCATAACGAGGCAAGAAAATCAGGTGACATACATTACATATATATGGCGGACATTTTTTTCAGCTTCACGGTATATAAAAATAATATCATAGGTATATAGAGGATTCTCAGGAGACTGACTCCTTCGACTGGAACAATACCTTTTTCTCATGGTTTTTTATATTGGAGTTATTGTTTTTTATATCATCGACAGGTATACTCTACGATACTGCAAGATTTTGTTCTGGACTATGACCAGCAAACTACCCCCACCTAGCGTTTGGATCAATTCGAAGTGTTGTACATTTGGTGCTTCCGTCTTTGATAGCATTCTCTCGACTAGCAGTAGAAATAGTCTGAGAGAAGATATATCATCAACAGACGACGACTCCTCCGCAAATCATTATGATCGAACGCTGGTATCATTGAATCAAGGCTATGATAATGGCCAGTTGACACTTTTATCAGCGTCGTCGCTTTCGGATGGCAATGGCAGCAAGGGCGTGCTGAGGATTCCATTCGGAAGATCGCGGAGTTATCCACCACTTGGATCGCATCCTTGCCCCACCACTGTTTCGGAAACTCAAGCTGCCACTCAGGCAAAACTTTTATCACAAGGTTCTGGTCCTAATGTAAGAAGATTTGTACAATTAGCAGTGGTCGGACTGGTAGTGTCACCACAGAACGAGATATTAATCACTCGGCGACCGTCCTACATGAGAAGTTTTCCACATGCATGGGTTTTTCCAGGTGGATCTGTCGATTCGACAGATGATAGTTTGGAAGCGGCTATTGCGAGAGAAATATGGGAAGAAACGGGGCTAAAAGTTAGTGGGTCGTCGCTATCAGCTATGCAAGCACTAGACGCTTCAGCAGGGGATGGAGAGAAGACGACCACCAGTTGTAGTGGTTGGACTATTGAATGTATTTGGGAATCCGTATTTCCAACCATTCCAGAACCGGGAATAACCATCAAGAGACATCACTTGGTGGTATATTTGTCCATCAAGCTATCAGAGCGTGAAATGTCCCAAATGTCCCTGAAACTGTGCGACGAAGAAGTGGACGCAGCAGTGTGGCTTTCACCTAAGAAGGTCAATTCCATTCTGGCAAAGGGTTTGTGTCGTGCCGATTCTTCTGTTTCAGAAGAGGAGATATGGGTCGATCTTTTGACATCTTCCAACACTCAAGTGGCTGCCAAGACTGGTGTGAAAGAATCATTGGAACATTTGTCGGGGATTTATCCTAGGTTTGATGACGATGATACTTCGTCACAACATCCGTTTGGAATGGCACAAGGATCCCTTTTTGCTCTGCAGGAGTACTGTAATCGCCATCATGATGAATAAATTCTCAGATTGCTCTGTGCTGGCCCTCGACAAAGGGGACACAAGCGATCATGAGACGGCCCCTCAGAAATGGATGGTGCACAATCGTCGCAAAGGCACAGGTGTCCGCAAGGAATCACAGCTCGCACAGGAGTCTTGTCCTGACAGATGACACACTGAGGTTTCTCCTGTCTCTTGCTTGGCTTAGCAATTTCCTCTTCCAAGTTCCATCGTGGTCGTTGTGTAGGTGGTAAAGCCATAAGTGACGCCCTTAGTAATCTTTTCCGACTGTAAACATCATCTTGCATTTCTGCCAAATGATCTTGCATTACCTCGAGTTTCGTTTCGAGTCTGCCGATACTTTCCTTTTCTTGAGTCAGCTTTTCTACCAGTTGCACTTCCAAGGCAATTGCTCTGGATGCTTCCTCTGCAGCCTTTTTTGCTCGTCCTTCTTCATCACGGCGTCGCCTTTCCTCTTCAGCTCGTCGTAGTTCTTCGTCTCGGTCAGCTCGTTCCAATTCTTCTTGGAGCGCGCGTATTGCAGCAGCCTCAGTTGCCTCTTTTTCTTCTTCTTCTTCGCGTCGTATTCTTTCCTCTTCAACTCGTCGAGCGTCTTCCTCACGGTCCTCGTCAGCTCGTCGTGCTTCGTCTAAACGGGCAGCATGTTCCAATACTCCTTGAAACGCGCTTAATATAGCGGCCTCAGTAGCCGCATTCGTAGCTCTTTCTCTTTCACGATATTCTTGGATTTCTCGATCTCTTTTCGTCTTCCTTTCCTTTTGCATGGTGTAGAAATCCTCGATTAAAGTCTCGAGTCTTTCGTCAAGACCAACGCTGCGAACTGAGTCGTAACTGCGTAGTATTATCCACGAACCGTCCTCAGCCATTGCTACATCTTCTACTTTCTGGTTGCTGCTCTGGAGCTCCCGATCAAAATAAATACTATCTGAATTCCATCCTTCCCCGTTATCGTCCTTGATATAATATTGACCGTTAGCGAACAACCGCATAATATGAACTCTCTGCGATCTTCTGTGGATTTGCTTGAGGCGCTTCAACAGGCCACTTGGGGCATTCATGCAGCAGTACCCGATTGACCCGTTGGTTCCAGTGATTGTGCACAGAGAGGAAACTGAGTCTTGGGATCCCAAGGCTATCTTGCAGGGGGATGATGATTTTATCTCATTGGACTGTGCTGTATCCACACCACCCCACCAACAATAAGATCCACTCCCGTCTGGTTTGATACCATGGACATACCACGTATTATCAGGACCAAAATCAACATATTCGACGTCTCTTCCTTTCGATGTGCAGTTGTTTATTTGACTGGCCAATCCATAAGGAATTGATGCCCAAGCTTTCGACTGCCACTGCATGTCGCCGTCATCATTATCCAACAAGAGCAACCATGATTTACCGTCCTCTCCAAGAACAACTCTAATTCTACTACCAGGAGTTCCTTTGATAGGTCTAGGTGGTTCCATTCTTGTCGCGATGCCTTCAAGATAGAGAGTACCAGTACCAGTACCAGT